TTGAAGTGCAAACCATTTCTGCTAAATTTTCTGGCCCTGAACCCACAATACAGTGTGGAGTATTGGCATGTATGATTGAAGGAGGCCCTACACAAGTACTCCTAGTGCGAGGTGAAATTGCAGACTTGGATTATTCACTGGATAAAAGTGTGGTTGACATTGGATACCAGGTTTGTGGAATCACGGTCGTATAGAAATCTTAATGAACCTAGTAACACAAAATTGATACGCTTTATTTCGCAGATATTTTGTATGCCATCCCTGCAAATCATTAAACTTACAAATACAGGGAATTTACCATTCGATTTTTCATTTGATTTGTCTCGTAATGAGGTGCCAAAGAATGAAACTACTTGTTTGAAAGTGGAACCAAGCCAAGGTTATCTGACATCCAAACAATTTATTATTATTCAAGTTGACTTCACTCCTGGATTAATAAAGAAAATCAATGAAACATTCACACTTCAGGTGAGTTTTGAAATGTAATAATTTTTATAGAAAAAATCGTGCAGTGTTACTTTGTGGATTAGAGGAATATAATCGTTGTTTGTAATTATTGATTAATAATATTTTTCCTATTGTAATTTTGGTCCATTCAGGTGGGGTTTTTGGATCCAGTCCCTATTTCGCTGGAAGGCTGGGGCGTGATTCCACAGCTATATGCGTTTCTTCCGCGCCCAAAGTCGTACGTGACAGTTATTGACATAGGTTATGAAGCTGTTGATTTACTTTTAGAAGAGTTTATGATAAATGAAAAAAAGAAGAAGAAGAAGAAGAAAAAGTCAGAGAAAAATGATGAATTATCTCTTTTTGGAAGAAGTCTTTCGAGAAGAGAATTAAATGCCCTAGCGAGAAATGGATGGTCAGTCGTTACATACGAGGTTAGTTTTATTTCTTAATTTTTTAAAGATGTTTGTATAATTTATCAAAAATCACTTAAATTTCAGTGACACTTGTATTCGAACTAAGACACTTTTTCAGCATTGCAATTAAATTAAAAAAAACTCCATACTCTCTTAAGGGAATTTGCAACAGCAGGAAACAGATACAACATTTCTCAATTGAGATAGCGGTTGCTTGTCATAATATCATATCTAATTCTATAAACATTGAAGATCCTGAAGCCACAGATGCAATAAAATAATAAATAAAGAAAACGAAATGTAACATGATAATAATGAGATATCAAGGTATTTCCCTTTTGTTTTCGATGAACCTTCCTTCCTCATTACAAAAATGAAAACAATCTACTTAATACATTACATATCGCTTTTCTATGCAAATTGTGTTCTTAGTATTGAATGAAAAAATATCTATGATATAAATTCCCTAGAGTAAAATGATTCGCATATGAAGAGCGAGAAAATATTGGCATTCATATATTAATATCCAAGTAGTAGACTTTATACCTAAGGAAAAATATAAATTCGGGTGAAAGTTGAGAAAAATGGATTATGGATCGTCACAAGTTTTAATTTTACAATAAGTTGTATGTGAATTATGTTGCTTCCACACAGAAAATGGCAACATTCCTTAATTTGTTGTTTATAACTCGCACTCTTAATGTTCATGCCTTTAAGAATGCGCTGTACGAGTAAAACCAGGAAATATGTAAATAATCTCGTACATGTCTGAATGTCTGATTCTCTCTCTCTCCCTCTCTCTCCCCCTCTCTCTTCCCCTCTCTCTTCCCCCCTCTCTATCACACAGACTCACACATTTCATCTTAATTTTCTTCATCAACACTTCCAAAGGTATAAAAGCTCCTCATTGAAAAAAATACATGTAACCACAGACGGGAGAAAACCAAATAAGGATATCTCATTTATTGTATTCGAAAGGTCGCCGTACCGATCTTACGTTTGTTAATTCATTACGTTAAGAAAATGTCTAGAGTATTGGCCCACTGTTTTATCCTTCAGGCTGAAATCATGAGCCAGATACACGGCATTGCATTCGGGTCATTCGGCATTGCATAAGTCACGTTGCAGGTATATTTGAGCGTGCTGACGCACATCGTAGTCCAGATGCAGGCCATAGCAAGATGGCAAACCTACCTAACATGTGGCGCGGAGTTCCGAAAGCGTACCTATTACTTCAGAAAAAGTCTGTGTGATTAAGAAGATTGATTATTATTATTATTATTATTATTATTATTATTATTATTATTATTATTATTATTATTATGCTAACTACAAACTGCGAAATTATAAAGAACATTTTTTCAATTAAGACATACCCAGAAAAATTATTAAAAGTTATTATTGAGTGACATTTATTGTACAGGATCAATATCCTACTGTGGCTGAAATAGATCTCACTGTTGAGAAATTGCTTGCTCAAGATCACATGGATAGTTGTTCATATGCCAATATAAAACTCTGGGCGAAAAATCAGTGCATTCCGGGATTAATTTTCCCACCTTATGACATTGGTAATGAATTAAACATTTCAGTATTTGCCGACCTGCTTTCACTCCCTGCACACTTTCTAATTCATGGATTGCTTGTCATACAGATTTTGGAATTGTTTTGGTTGGCACTTCTGTGTCTTATTCAGCTCTCTTGTATAATTATGGACCTATTCCTGTCACGGGATCATTTCAATTTAATCCCAGGCGTTGGATGTTAAGTGAACAGGGTTTTTCTTTCAAGTTGCCTACTATTACAAAGTTGGGCGCAGACCAGACTGTCTCAATGCAAATATTTTTTAATCCAACCAGAAGTATGTATAAAGAAAAAAAGAACGATGTGGAATTTTTAATTTATTTGGAGGTAACAATTTACTTTTTATTTTTATATTTTTTATTTTATTTTAGATCACTGCGCAACTTTGTGGTCGTAAGTGATCATAATCTGATGTACAATTTCACATTATAAGAAAATGTACTATTTTGATTGATTTTTATATCATTGTCAATAACAGTTTAAATCATTCAATATTAAATACAGTTAATATTACAAGCATTGACATTTTTAACAAAAAAAATACCACATATATATATATATATGTAATTTGGTAATACACATAAATTTAATAACTTTGTGACACTGCGAAGTAGAATTGGAATGCGAAATAGAATGGATATCTGTATCAAATTTTAAGTTTTTCCTTATATCACTCGTGAAATGACATTCAACCAGTAAATGGAGTGTAGAAATAGTTTCACCACAATTTGAAGTTTTATATTTTTAATTAATTACTTTATCTCAAATATTCTTACATTGTATGCATTGCAGATTGCTTATGGAGCAAGAATACCTATACAGGTGCGGGCAATTGTGACTCTTCCTTACCTTGTTGCATCGGTTGATGCAATAGACTTTGAGTCAATTAAATGTGGAGAACGCAAGTCAGTAACAATGACTTTGTCAAATGAGTAAGTCATAATGCGTTTTCATACAGTAACGTTTGTTGCCAGCTATTAGTATCAAATAGTAGTATTAAATCGGGGAAACTTTATTTGTATATCAATGCACACTATGGTATTGTGATTGGTTATATATTTTATTGAGTGGGACGCGAATGATCGATGTTGGTTGTTCACGTTTCTGCTGTGGTTGGAAGGTGTCTACTATTTGAGCGGACAGTCCGTTTTTTTCACATTATGTTCACCATTTTTTCGCTAAATAGAGGACATTTTTTAATTCAAAAGCTTTATGATGAAGTGGTATGTAATCTAAAGCTGTATAATATAAATCCACTACATGTTCATTGACAAAAGTGATCTTCCGCCCCTCTTCTTTTTCTAGAAATTTGTAATATTTATTCTGAGACATTATGTAAATAATTAAATGTACCACACGATGTCAGAGATCTCTTACATCGTAATGCATAATGTTTTCTCTTTTCGTCATATTGAGTTCAAAAAATATCCAGAATGTCTCGAGAAATAACTTCGATTAGACGAAAGTAGACTAAATTAAGTGCGAACATCTTGATTATGACGAATATACTATCAATATATTTTTTGAGTAAGAAAATGTCAACAGTCGTAAGTACATTCTTTTTTATACTAATAGTTCCTTTTTTAAAGAATTTTATTCCAAAGACCAAGAATTTAAAAGTATGGTGTTTGGAATAGTGTAATTTAAATTTGGTGCCAATGTTTTGGAATAATACTTGAAATATGTACTACCTTACGCCTTCAGCTCGAATTATTCATCCTGAAGACAAAATTCACACACACATAATCACGAGTGTCTGCATTTCGTTTTAAAGGAAAAGTTTAAAGTATTAATAGCTTTAAAATCATTAGAAAACTTCCGAAAGGCGTGATTGTGCCTTTTGTGACAGTTGTTGGTGGATAAGTATCAAACAAATGCCAAAGAACAGCAGATATTCTCTTATTTTCTCAAAAGGATCACTCTTGTGAATTTTTTATTGTAGTGATAATCTCTAGATTGCGACATGAGTTATTGAATTAATAAATAAAATGTCGTTAATTCATTTTTTGGAAAGGGGTTTAGTGCCATGTGTTTGGAGATGTGAAATAAAAGGAAGAAGAAGTGAAGGATCATTTACCTTTGGTTTCCTGGAGACCATGACTACCTTACTGCCACATCAGTCAGTTGATTTGTCCATCATATTCAAACCTTTCACGCCTGTAAGAAAGTAAATTTTAAAAAGATGAGAATATATTAGTAATAAGTCTTCAGATCTCGATAAAACATTGTATTTATTTTCCAGGGTCAAAAAGAAACAATTCTGACAATTTTATCAGATAGTATCGAAAAACTGGATATACCATTAACTGGCACTGCTGTGGAGCCACGCGTTACATTGTCTGATCACGTGTTGAAATTTGACCCAACTCTGCCGTATCCTGAAAACTATATTAGAACCTTCAAAGTTAAGAATTCGGGTATCCATCCGATTGAGTTTTATCTCCCTCATCTCGACAGGTATTTTCCAGGAACCAGGGAAGGAATTATGAATATTGTAATAGTGCAAAGAACATGAAATGTTTTCTCATTTGTCAAAAATATTTCAGTCAAATAATGGAGGAAGAGAGAATATTACGTGTACTTTGTGATTATTATGAAACTGATCATTTGTGTTTGCCCGTTCGAAATATCGGAGATGATCTTCCTAAGGAAATAATTTCATTTTATAATAAGTTGGTCGGAATGTTGAAGTCTGTTGATGATGAAGGTAATACGTACTAGTGATTTGTTGGCTCCAGTTACACGGGACCCTTTTATTTCGACCAGTTAACTGAAAATGATGTGTATGAACGTCTTTCATAGGACCAAACGGGCAAAACGCGAAGAAAAAGAAAAGGCGATCTAAAAACGATAAGCCGAAATTTCCACAGTTAGGTTCAGCTTCACAAGTGACATCAGTGTCACCTTCTCAAGTGACAGTTGCATCTGAGGCGCCGAATTCTTCAGACAATATAGAAGAAGCATTACATGGTAAGACGGTTTTAGTTTGCTCCATTATCAAGGATGTATCTAGGGATAGGGACGACTTTTAAGTAAACGAAAAAGAGATTTAAATCATAATTTGTAAAATCAATAATACCACCTTAACAAAAATTGGTTGAAGTGGTTCAAGGGATAAATTGATATCACTGCAGTGCTTCTGACCGGGAGGGCCTAGGGTTCGAGTCCCGAGATTTTTGACACTACCTGGACAGCTAGTAGGACGAATTCAGTTGCTGTCTGAAGGGAAATTCTAGGGTCTGATCGGTAGTTTTCCTTGTTTTTCTGATCAACATCAGGCGAATACTGAAGCTGTACCATAACATACGGGCCACAGACCGAGCGATGTCATTCCTTCCTCCTTCCTTGACCTATCCTCACCGCTTACACACACATTTACCGGCACTACACTATTTCATGTTGGGAGAGCGGTTGGGAACTTAGAGCTGGTCCCGGTTGGGACGGTTCCCTGCTGGTAGGAAATATGTGGATGGTGAAAATCCCGCAAGCCGATATGTAGGTCGACCCTGCAAGAGATCGACCCAGCAAGTCGAGCAAGTGGGGGATCGACCCAGCAAGTCGATCAAGTGAGGGATCGATTCAGCGAGTCAATCATGTGAGGGATCGACCCAGTTAGTCGATCAAGTGAGGGATCGACCCTGCAAGTCTATCAAGTGAGGGATCTACCCAGCAAGTCGATCATGTGGAAATCGACCCAGCAAGTCGATCAAGTAGGCGATCGACCCAGCAAGTCGATCAAGTGGGCGATCGACGCCAGCAAGCTCAATCAGGTGAGGGATCTATCCGCAGCAATCAATCAGTGAGGGATCGACCCAGCAAGTCGAATCAAGTGAGGGATCGACCCTCAGCACATCGATCAAGTTGGGGATCGAACAGCAAGTTGAATCAGTTAGGGATCTACCCAGCAAGTCGATCATGTGGGGGATCGACGCCCAGCAAGTCCGATCAAGTGAAGGGATCGACATCAGCAAAGTCGATCAATGTGGAGGTACGGACCCAGGCAAGTCGGGATCATGTGGTGGGATTCGGAGGAGTTGCACG